ACAAGCACATGGTTAAATCAGGTGTGACGTATTTGTACGAACACACACGCACACACACACACACACACACACACACACACACACACACACACACACACACAGTACAGAAAATATTGTCTACCCTTTCAATTTGTTCAGTTTTGGTACAGTCGTTATGATAATGAGAATCTGATGACAAACAAAGGGAATTTTAGTCTTATCTTTTTGTGGCTTCTTATTTGGTCATTGCAGTATGTATAACCTTCTGTTCCTATTGCTAACCACACAGATTTTTTGTATAGTTTAACCTGTGTAGCTTGTGTAATTATTGTGTAATCTAAAATCAGGCAGAGAAGAAGCCTGTCTAATCTCTAAAGGCAGATCGTTCCACAGTCTTGCTTAGCTATTAGCTTAGCTCTTCATCTTTGTCGGCTGCCCCACTGGCACTTTTCTGGTCATTGTGTCACATGTTTTGCTACTCTTCAGCCTCCTTAAATAATAACTATACTTTTAATAAATGCAGCCTGTTAGCAGCTTATGAGAGAGAGAGGTAAGTAAATATGAGTGTCAGTTTTATGCGCTGTGTCTGCTCAAAGCTGAATCCTACTTGGTTTAATCAGCTGGCTTTTGACAGTTTCGAGGGCAGGGTCCAAAAGAATAGAAGACCTAATGAAATTGGTCAATTATATGGACAATTCAGATTCCTGCCTTAAACAGAGTTACAGATTAAAGTAGCCCTCATGTTGCTGCCACAGCGTATTTGTTTACAATTTGGAAAATAAAGTTTGGCAAATTATTTATCAGGAATTATTGTTTGCTGTGTAACTGTGGAAATACTGACAACTGTTACTGGATTACTTTACTGCTGAAAAAAATCTTTAAAACTAGAGGATTCAACAAAAAGGTTCTGAAGGTCATGTACTACTGCCCAATTAATCTGTTATACAATACCACATACCCATTTTAATTTTAGAAATAATGAGCAACACACACCATTCTTGGAAAAAAAACAAAACGTATTTTTCGGACCATAAGGTGCACCGGATTAAGCATTAAGCGAAACAAAACAGTCAGATAAGTCAAACTTATCTGGACTTTACTTTGCGTCCACTTCTCTACCATTGATTCATTAATGTTGAATTCTCTGCAGCTGCTCTATTCTCACGTTGTTGCAGTATATTAATAACTAACCTCATATTGTGGATGAATTATCTCAGTTTGATTTGATTTGATTTACCTTTATTAGTCCCACAAGGGGAAATTTCATAAGGCTGCCGACCTATTGCACGCAATGGCGGCGCCATCTTACCCTCCGACCA